ATGGACAATGACTTTGTTCTGAGTGACAGTTGAGGCTTTATCTATTACAGTTATTGGCTCATTCATTGTTATTCAATAAGTATTTGGGTACATAAATAGTTAAACAATAGAATTTTTAAAATTTGCTAATAAGACAAATCATAATCTCCATTCTGGCAGAAGGAATCAAAGCCGAAACTTTCTGTATACTATTTAACCAGTAGCACCATAATGGAAACTGTATGTTTTTTTGGTTTGTTTGCTTGTTTTTTGTTGTTGTTGTTTTTGAGTTGGAATCTCACTCAGTCCCCCAGACTGAAGTGCAGTGGCCGCTCCCAGCCACCGCAGCCTCAACCTGCTGGGCTCCAGCAATCCTTCCGCCTCAGCCTTCCAAGTAGCTGGAATTACAGGCGCGTGCTACCACGCCCGGCTAATTTTTGATTTATTGTAGAGATGAGGTCTCGCCAAGTTGCCCAGGAGGGTCTCGAACTCGCAGGCTTAGGCAATCCACTCACCTCAGCCTCCCAAAGCACTGGGATTACAGGCTGACCCACCGAGCCCAGCTAAGGAAACTGTATGCTTTTTAAAAATAAAGTTGTGCACACAAATTTAGTCACAAGGATGTTTGTAACATATATTGTTTATAATCGTGAAAAATGGGAAATAATATAAATGTCTAACAACAAGAGCTTCATTAATAAAGTTTCAGTGAGTGTATACAATGGGATACTAGATATCATTAAAAATAATTATTCTAGACAAGTGGTTCTCAATCTACAGTAAAATCACCTGGAAAATTTCAAAAATACTGATGCCTGGGCCCACCTACAGGATTCTGACTTCTTTGTCCTAGGGTACAGCTTGGGCATCTAAATTTAAAAGCTCTCCCAGATGATCTTAACACTCAGCCAAGGTTAAAAATCACTGCTCTAGAGGAATGGCATAGGAAATGCTAGCTATATATGGATATAAAAACATGAAAGGTACAAAATATTATGATTCCACTATTGTCATATGGATAAATGGACAGATGGATGGGTGGATGGTGGATGGATGGACTGGCAGGGGGAGACACACAAAAGAAAAATATCAAAATCTTACCAACGACATCATTCCCTCTTTATGATGGCATTATATATGAATTTTTATTGTCTTTGCTAGATTTTCCACAGTAAGCATAACTTACTACTTTTTTAAAAGTGAGAAAATTACTTTCTGGTCAAAAAAAATCTCTATCATCTCACTAAAAAGGATATATAGATGACAAGATAATAAAAATACACTCCACATGATATGTCATTAGGGAAATATAAACCATGAGATACTACCACATTAACTATCAGAAAGGCTAAAAGCCAAAACCCTGACAGTATCAAATGCTTATGGGAATGTGAAGCAATAGAAACTCTTATTTGTTGCTGGTGGGAATTCAAAATGGTACAGCCACTTTGAAAGACAGTTTGGCAATTTCTTACAAAACTAAACTCACTTTTACCACATGATCTAGTAATCACACTCATTATTATTTAATCAAATAAGCTGAAAACGAATGTCCACACCAATGTGTATATATTACTTGCACACTAAAGATTACAGCAGCTTTATTTATAATTGCCAAAACTTGGAAGCAAACAAGATGTCACCCAATAGGTGAATGAATAAATAAACCATGGTACACCCATACAATGGAATATTATTCAGCAATAAAAGGAAATGAGCTATTGATGAAGGAACCTCAAATATATATTGCTAAGTGAAAGAAGCCAATCTGGAAAGAGTACATACTGTATGATTCCAAATATATGACACTCAGGAAAAGTCAAAATATGACAACAGTAAAACAATCAGAGGTTGCCAGGGCTTTGGAAGAGGAAAGGAGGGATGAATCGGTGAATCACAGGAGATTTTTAGGGTAGTGAAACTACTACTGTATGATACTGCAATGGTAGATAATTGTCAGTATACATTTGCCAAAATCCCTAGAACTGGACAACATAGAGTGAACCCCAGTGTAAACTGTGGACTTTCGTTAACAATAATGCATCAATAAGGACTCATCAATTACAACAAATGTGCCACACGACATACACATATGATGACAGAGGAAACTGGGGTAGGGAGGTCGGGGGGGCATCTGGGAACTCTGTACTTTCCACTGAATTTTTCTGTAAACCTGCAATTGTTCTAAAACCAAGTACTTTTTAAAAAATCCATGTCATATTCCTTAAACTTCACCTAAAATAATCAAAGATGAACTCAAGAAGTTCAGCATGTAACTGGAGACACAGCGCTTCAAACATACTCCTTGCCTATGTGTTAGAGACCCAATGTGACATGGTGGTCAGGAGGCGTCACAGCTGTCCTTGCAATGACTGCCTGCACACAGCTGCCAGCTAGTTCTTCTCTTCAACAGAAAAATCCTTCCCTCAATCTTGTTTCCTACATTTGTATTTCAGTTATGCATAGTCACCCCCCAAACCACTAGCTTTTGGCTAATCCCCAAAACTGCTGGCTTACTTTTCCTTCCCATCACTTCCAGAGCAGGACACAGGGAACAACACATGTGAGAGACCAAGAATGAGACAACACCAAGGAGAGAGAAACACAATAAAAGAAATATAATCATTATCTCTTCTCTGCCTATCTGGACTTTTCAACTTACCCCATCTACTTTTTCCAAGTGAAAACACAAGGCAAAAATCAATGTCTTTCAGATGAAGAGGAATCAACAGCAGGAACTGATCAATAGTAAATCATGTAAAAAAAAAAAAATAGCTAGGCAGAGGAAAGAAATCTTTTCCCAACTCTCCTCATCAGAAAAAAACAGAAGGAAGAAAATAAAAGGAAAAGAAAAAAGCAAAGAAGGTAAGAACAAAACTGAAACTCATTTGTATTTTTTCTCTCATTCACTTAAGAAAACTATGAACAAGCTCACTGGGCTATCTTGTTTGGCCCCAAATATAAAAAAGAAAAGAGATTCAGTATAATACTAAAGCAAAATTATACTACTATTCATAGCAAATAAATAATTCAGACCAACACTCTAGAATCTTTTTTTTTTTTTTTTTTTGAGTTGCAGTCTCACTCTACCGTCTAAAGTACAGTGGCACACTCATGGTCACCCCAGCGTTGCCTGCTGCGCTCTGGCAATCCTTCTGCCTCAGCCTTCCAAGTAGCCTGAACTACAGGCGCATGCTACCATGCCTGGCTAATTTTTTATTTTGTGTAGAGATGAGGCCTCGCCAAGTCGCCCAGGCTGGTCACGAATCCGCGGGCTCAGGAAATCCACTCGCCTTGGCCTCCCAAAGTGCTGGGATTACAGGCTGAGCCACTGAGCCCGCGTACCCTAGTATCTTAAAGAATTATAAACCAATTTAATAGGTCTCTGTTTTTTATTTTTCTTATACACATTTTAATAGTTTTTCTACTATAAAAATAATGCATGTTCACTGTGGAAAAATAAAAATCCAAAAGTAAGCCAAAAGAAAACAAAATCGTTTGGCTCCCCCCACACTAGCAATCTTTTAGACTTATCCATGTTTTTTGTTTGTTTTTTATTTTACAACAATGAGGTAATATCATATACACGCTTTCGGAACTAATGTATTTCACATTTTCAAATGTCTCATCCACATCTTTTTCATGCAATAAACATGGACAAGAATATTTACACCATGCTTTCCATCTACAAATCTTTTTGATGTGAATAACAACTCAGCATCTTTCACTCTTGGCAATGATTCCATTCCCCAACTCTCTGCCCCCTTTTCAGAAAACTTTTTTAACTTTCCTGGAAATACATGTTAGAATTAAACTGCTGTCATTCTTTTCAGAACATGCAGATGAATTAGATGGAAAAAAATGTTAGAGGCCACACTTCTTGTGACAAAAATAATCTATAAATATTCAAGACGTCCATTGCCCTGCAGATAGAAAAAGACTCTAGGACATTGTTATAAACTCACTTCTAAGTGGTCTTTTTGGGTTCATAAGTCAGCTGAAAAACTTCATTTCTTTGTCATTCTACTTAAATTTTAAAAGTGGGATATAATCACTTTGTTCTGGAATTTCAAAAATCAACTCCTATAAACTCTACAATGTAAAATGTAGCATATAATTATAACAAATAAAAACTTGTAGACAACCTGAAATTGTCAGATGTAGAAATAGCCACAGAATATGTTTGTGGATGACAACATTATCCTTTTCTCACATAATACCTGAAAGGATTAAATGATAGTAATTGTTTATGAAGAAAAGTACTTGTATTAATGGAATTAAGTTAGCAGTTTTTGAAAACCAGTCTTTGAGCATATTTAATAAAGGGAAATTCATTTTGTTTATAAAAAGCAGGTATGAAACTTCTCATCAACTCTGTAGCTCAGTGGACACTGTAATATATAAATGTACTTATAACAGATATCTAGTATATATATATATAATGAACTTATAACAAAAGCGCATTTTTCTCTCGGTCTCTCTCTCTCTCTCTGTCGCTCTCTCCCTCTCTGCAGCTCTCTCCCCACCTCTCTCCCACTTCCTCTCTCCCACTTCCTCTCTCTCTCTCTCTCTCTTTTCTTTTTTCCAATTACAGATCCCCTCTATAACAGCCACTTTAATAAATCTCTTGGTCCTGGGGAAAAAAAAAAAAAAAAGCGCATTTTTAAGGCAATAAAATCCTGTTTATTAATTACAAGATTTCTCGTGTGCCTAGTATGTAAGAGGTACCATGCCTATTGCTGTATTACAGGGATGATCAACCTCCTGCCATTCTACCAAGAGAAATTGACATTAAACACATAGTTACAATATTAATTATTAAATTAAAACTGAGATGACTCTTGCAAATAAAGAACGACAGGTGAGTTGTACCCTTAAGTAGAAAAAAATAGTGTGAATTAAAACCCATACATGGTACACTATAATCGAACACATTCTAATTTCCAAATTGTATATTTCTTTTTATATACTTGAGTTCTTACATCATAGATTTCAGATTTTTTTTTTTTTTTTTTTTTTACTTTTGGTTTATAAAATGTAATTTTATTGTATGTTGCTCTGCTGTTACATCGGGCATAACATTTTCACAAGGCTTTTTTGGGACTACAATCAATGATTAGCAACACACAATAGTGGTCCAACTTTCTAAATAACAATCACTAGACAAACTGGACACCCTCTCACATGTGCACAAATCTGCATGGCAAAGTACTAAAGTTTTAGACTTGGACTTGTGTACTCTATTTCCCCTTTCTAGTGTATGAGGAAATGACATGCATTTTAATTTGCCAAAAGCAATGCTTGTATTCTGGCAGCAACATGCTACTTCTAGTACATAGTACAGTGAATACCAGAACTACAAAGGCAGGAGGTGTAAGTGAATTTTTATTTGGGAAGGGAAGTTGTCAACTTAAAACAGCAGCAAATGAAGAGTGAATAAGGAAACTCCCTGTTGTCACAGATATACACTACCTCCAGAATACATGATATCAGAGGCATTTCAATTTGTGACCCCCAGCCCAGAAATGTCAAGTGCTTTTCCATTCAATCTAATACTTCTGGATTCCTACTAAAAAGGAATACATTAAGAGCATGGAAAAGTTGCTTACTGAAAGGAAACCCCTGAAGAATAAGGGAGGGAATGTAGAAATTAAGAAGTTATGTAGAACACTCTTTAAATTGTAATTAACTACATTTTCATATCTTCACAATAATACAAAACACAGTCACTTGCAGAACTGGTTCAGATTACTTAATACCAGATACATTCTTAGTCCTCTACATAAGTGTTTGGAAGTTACTTATGTTTATATGAAACGAAGTTATTAATACTTTTCTACAGCAGTGACTGCACACCAGGAAGGCCAAGACAAACACAAATCAAGGAATGGACTTTTCCCAAAGATGCAGTGTGAAAAGACGATACACAGTTGATTCCATACACATGAGTGGGTTCTTTGCTACAGGAAATCCAAGTGGAATAAGGAATGGAGATGTGTAAAAAGGTTTATTGACGGGAAGAAGGACGACACCCTGTATGCACTTAGTTCTCGGCCCCTTCTGCTGCATCCCATTCTTCGCCGCACAGTCTGATGTCCATAGTGTTAGGTTGTCTCTAAGCAGCTGCATGGTGAGGGCGCTGCCTTTGTATCAAGTTCTGCAATGGCCTCCTCAAAAGCCGTTTTAGCCAGTGTGCAGGCAAGCTCTGGATTTTTAAGGGTCTCATAGTAAACTACCGACAAGTTAAGAGCCAGCCCAAGGCGGACTGGATGTGTAGGCTGCATCTCTTTCTTGCTTGTGTCAAAGGCCGCTTGGCTAGCTCCTTGGGAAGCAGCTATCGCTTGTTTTCGGTCATCACCACATGCAACTTCAGCAGGGTACCGAAAGACGAAAGCAAGCTCCCTTCATTTTCAGATAGAAGACCTTACTCTCTGGACTAGTTGCATTGGCTATTAAATACTCATCCAACAATTCCAGGACGTGGTGCAGATGGATCTCAGCTCCGACTCCACTTTCTCCTGATAGTCCTTAATCGGCTGCAACTTCTTGTCAGAGGTGTCGGTTTTCTGCTCGATGCTCGAGATGACCCTCCAGGCGGACCTGCGGCCCCGACCACGTGCCTGTAGGTTGCGCTCCTTGTTGGACCGCTCGGCGCACTGCTCGGTCAGGCCTTCATGCAAGCGGCCATGTCGTCGTAGCGCTCGGCCTGCTCGGCCAGCTTGGCCTTCTGGGTCAGCTCCGTCTTCTCCACGGCGGGTGGGCGGGCGGCGCGGGGCCGGGGCCGGGACGCGGAGAGCTCGGGCGAGCGCCGACCCGGATCGGGAGGAGTCCTCCTCGAGAGCTTCACGACTCCACGGCCGCGAAGCGAGTCCCACCACTTTGATCTCAGATTTGGGATTTTTAAAGGAAGCCTCCCTTTGTGTAGAACTGACCTCTTCTTTGATATTCCAAAGCCACATGCAAATGAACACACAAATACAGAAAGAAAGAGACTGTCTAATCATAATAAGGAAATTTAAATATGACTTCATTTTCAAAATCAAGAATTCAAGAAAATAGCACATTCAGGAAATCTGGACCCACTCTAGATTCCAACACAGCTACCAAATATCATTATTCATTTTTAAAAATTCATGACCATAAAAGACACGTTTTAAAAAACATTTAGGTCTATGCTTAATCTTGGAATAAATTATAATTCATTACAACATCACATTTCAGATCAAATGTTCACATGTGCACATACATATAAAACATGCAACTATGAAGACAAAGCTTTCCACAGAATTCACAAAATGCTTGTGTATCTAACCCAGACGTCCCTCTAACATTCATGGAGATCTCTGCAGAGATTCCCCAATGTGAAAGCTTGATCACCATAACTCCGGAAGTACAGTACAGCAGGAAAGGAAGACCACCGCCAGTGTCTCCGCAGAACTTTTCAATATCATTGTGGAAGAAAAGACTCTCTGAGAAGGATAGGATGCAAGAGAAAATGTAAACAGTGAGCAGAAGAAAAAAGATGATCTTCAGACCAGGAGATACCACCATACTAGAATGATATCAAAATTTAAAATAATAATAACAGTAACAAGGATTGGGGAGGATGAGGAGAAAAGGGAATGCTGATGCAATGTAAACTGGTGCAGCCGCTATGGATGACAGTACGGCAGCTCCTCACAAAACTAAAAATAGAGTTGCCATATGATCCAGCAATTCCACTTCTGGGTGTAGACCCAAAAAACCTGAAAGCAGGTTCTGAAGACATATTTTTATACCCATTTTCCCCGCAGCATAATTCACGATAGGTACAAGGTGGAAGCAAAACCAGTGCCCATCGACAGACGAACAGATAAATAAAATGTGGTCTATTCACATGCAGGGGAAAGTTGTCCAACCTTAAAAAGGAAGGAGATTCTAGCACGTGCTACAACATGGATGGACCTTGAGGACATGATGCTGAGTGAAATAAGCCAGTTACAAAATCTCAAGTACTGCAGGACCCCACTTATGTGAAGTACCCACAGTAGGCAAAGGCTGGGAAGAGGAAGAAGCAGAGAGGTAGGACTTCCACTAGTTCTGCTCAATGAAAAGAGCTGAGGAGTTGAAGTTTGCAGAACAATGTGAATGTACTTAACACTACTGAACTATACACTTAATGTGTAAGTTGGTAACTGGTATGTTATGTGCATTTTACCGAAATTTTTTAAAAAGTTATCCTGCCCAAAAATCAAATAATGCAACCGAAAGCGACTTGATAATATAAACTTGAGCCTACCAGGCTAGTCATGGTGGAACTCATATCCTTGTATACAATTACCAGAGGAACCGTAAATGGGTGCAACCTTTTTTAGACAGTCAAAAATACTTTAATACTATAAATGCAGCCTAAGGAATTAATTCCAGTTTAATGAAAGAAGGGTAAATTAATCAGTGATATTCATTCTGTAAATATTTTTTTAAAATATTACAGAATCATCTCAAATGACCAAAAAATAGGGAAACCACTAATGATTAAATAAGTTATGATGCTTCATTACCTTTAAGGAAAATGATAATTATGAACTCTAATTTTGAAAACAGTTACAGAAATAAAACTGTTTTAAACATAACTCAATGTTAGAATCCAAATATAAAATCACATATACACCATGAATTTGACAGTATATAAAATACATACCATCTAGACCATACTAGAAGGTAATATACAAAAAAGAAAACGTCCTCTTTAATGTACTGGAGTTACCAGTGCCCCTTCCCCCATGTTCAAAATGTATTTATTTTAATGTTGTAGTTATACTTTAAACAACAACAACAAAAAGGAGTTGGGAAAGATTAAAACCATTCAGACAAAATTAGATGAAAGTATACAATGGAGCCAAGAGCAGAGGGTTCACCTAAACTAAATCTGCACATTTAATCTCCTCCAACGCACCTACTTCTACCAATCCTGAGCAGTCCCTGATTTCCTAGTCTGAATCTCAGCATCTCAATGCCAGGTCTTCACACACACTGTTCCCTCTTCCCTTTACCTGGGCTCAGCTGGAATAAGATTTCCTTGCGTGATCCTCCCGGTCCCCCGACAAAGGTCCCTTGCTCCTGCAGACTCCCCCTTTGGAGTATACTTGTCTAGTGTCTGTAACCCTCCCTAGCTCTGTGCTTGACGAGGCCAAGGAACATGTCTATCTTGTTCTTGGCCGTATTACCAAAGACCACCGCAGCAGCAGTACATATCTGGGGCTCATTAAGTGTCAGTTTATACTAAAATAAAAATATAATTATTATTTATTCAAAATTACAATTCTCTTCCTCAAAATTTGTTTTCAAATCACAGATTAAAACATCATGACTCCTAAAATATTTTAAGAAATTAATTTGTATCATGTGTTCCAAAGTTGTCTTACTTCGACTTTGAATTTCTCATCTTTACAATATTCCAAGTTAATTTTCTAGCTTTCACTATACCTTGAAATTATTAAACTTTTAACAGTCATAACTATAGATGGTAAGTATCCTGACATTTCATATTAAAATCTAATACGACCCATAAATCTCTAAAACCTAATGAGAATCAGTCTTGATATGTTCATTTATTCTATTTTTGGCTAAAGAAAATGTATCAGGACAAAGACAAAGAGGTCCCAGGTTATGAGAACAGCTAATCTTTGGTGAAGCATTCTCAACCTATATATGAATAGCTGCAGCTGTTTTATTGTTATAAAACAATTAAATGTAATACTGCTATGCCTTATAGCTTCAGAGTGTTTGTTCAGTCACATCTTGAGACTTTGTCAACATCATTCGAAACAGGAATTCTGCTAAAAGTAATCTCTTGATAAAAGCCCAGTTTTGTCTCCTTTCAAGGTCATCCCATATGCTAGAAAAAATTTCACTGTCATTTTTCTCAAGCCTTTGTGAGAAAAGTAAAACAGAAACTGGTAAAGGAGAACAATAAACCCTGTACTTCTACAAGAGATTGGAACCCTGAAATAATTGAAGAAGAAACAGGAATTTTGTCTACTACAGAGCTAAACAAGAAGGAAATCTAGAGATGCCAAAGTCTTCCTTCCTCCTCAAGGAAGGCTCCTAGCAGTCACTCCAGCCACTCCAGCCGCACCAGTCACACCACACCCGCTGGAGGAGCCCGCTGACATCCCTCAGCCAAGGGGTATGCTCTAAAAGAACTGGGCTGCTGTCCTAAGGCGTCCTCCTAACCAGTCATGCCAGCGACACCACATCCATGGGAAGAGCCCTCTGACACCCCTCAGCTGAGGGGTATTCTCTAAAAGAACTGATCTGCAGTCTTCAAAACAGGGATATTATGAAGGATAAAGAAAATTTGAGGAACTATTCCTGGTTAGAGGAGACCAAAGCGCCTTTCCGACTAAATGCAATGCGTAAATAACACTCAGCTGGATCCTGTACTGAGGAGCAAAATGCCATGAAGGACATCACTGGGGAACTGCCAATATTAAAATAAGGATCAAATGCTAGATAAGCCTAATTTATCTAAGTGATCACTTTACTGTGATTATGCAAGAGCACACCCTACAAACGGATAAAGGAGCATGATATACGCAACCTGCTCTCAAATGGTTCAAAACATGAGGGATACATATTTTTAAATACATTCTCAGGAATAAAAATTAAAACTACAGAATCAGTCCTACTGAAAAAATAAAGTTGAACTGATTGGTAAAGAGGTGGCTGTTAGAATTTCACCTTTGAGAGGAGAGGCACCTAATAAAGAAAAAAACTTAAAAAGGAAAATTTTGTAGATCTAAACATGTCCACCATCAGAATGCAGCTCAACATTGAGCTAGAAAAACAAATCTTTTCAGTTTGAATAAAATTTCTGTTATCTAACAACTCTTACATTGTAATTTAGGGGAAAAGAGTAATAACTCCATTTTTATAATGCAAATCAAACATTTTTAAATGGCTTTTTTCTAAAGTGTGAAGATACTCCTAAGGAATCATTTGGGAACCAAATTTCTTTTAACAAAGTCAGTTTGCGTACCTAGAAAGTAGGGGTGGAGTTTTTCCTCCTATTCTACACAGAGTTTCATATATACAAAGATATATAATACCTATAGATACATTTAGGTACAAAATTCCCATAAAAGGTCTCACTAAGGCTGATTTTTTTTTTTTTTAAATCACAGTGGCCTCTATTGCCCCCATGTGAGGCAACCTGACCACACAAGCCTGTGTTGCAGTGTCTCAAAAGGAGAGATTCGAATAGTAGTAAGGAAGATTTCGCCTCAGCAGTAAGGCAACCCTCTTTCATACAGCTTCCAGGTCACTTCTACCATCAGAAGCAATATTTTTTATAATATAGCATGCCAATAAAATACATCTTACTGGTCATAGTACAGTGGTCTGAATTGATCACTTAGCATGTCAACTTCTGTTATGTTAATTAAAACAAAAAATTTAAGCAGGTTCCAAAATTAAATTTAAACTCTATTGGGCCATAAGTGTCACAAGTAAACCAGTATGCAATACTCTTCCAACAATGATGATACTTGGTTCCTCTTCTAATTTAGAACACTTCATGTGTCACCGACACCAATCACACCACAGAAAGACAATAACTTAAAATTATCACCTAAGGAAAACACAATACCAACTATTGTAATTTACATAAAAATGTAATAAATGCACACAAGTGAGCTTTTACAAATCTCTTTTAAGCTATAATCAAGCAAACATATTCTCCTTTATCTTGCAACTATCAGCACAAAAAGGCTAACAAATAACGAGATCGAACATGGAGCTTTACTGTAAAGCAGGGGTCCCCAACCCCTGGGCCGCTGACTATACCCATACCAGGGTCTGTGGCCTGGTAGGAACTGGGTCACACAGCAAGAAGTGAGTGGCAGATGAGGGAAGCTGCATCTGTATTTACAGCCACTCCCCATTGCTCGCATTACCTCCTGAGCTTCATCTCCTGTCAGATCAGCACTAGATTCTCATAGGAACGCAAACCCTATTGTGAACTGTGCACGCAGGGAATCTAAGTCGCGCACTCCTTATGAATCTAAGTTGCGCACTCCTAATGAGAATCTAATGCCACCACTGATCTGCACAACAAATGTAATGCGCTTGAATCATCCCAAAACCATTCCTTGCCCCCATCTGTGGAAAAACTGTCTTCCACGAAACCAATCTCGGATGCCAAGAAGGTTGGGGACCACTGCTGCAAAGTGTCAAAAGCTTTACTAATGCATCTTACAAATTCCGTTTCTATTCCATTCTTCTAACAGCTGAAACCTATTTTTCAAAAAAGACACTGTGACTCCAAATACCCCACAACTGAATCTAAAAGTTGTATCTATCAGGGTCTGACTAGAACCTTTTTAAAGTTTAAGGTTTAAGACCTGAATGCTACAACTGCGTGAGAGGGAAACAAGGTGCTTCCATGGTACTGACACCAGGCCAGAAGGGG